CTGTGGGGCAGTTCCACTCTGTCATGTTGTTGTTGTTGTTGTGTGCCATCGAGTCAGACCCGACTCATAGCGACCCCTCCTTGGGTTTCCGAGGCAGTATCACTACGGAAGTAGGTTGCTGTTCAATCGATGGCTCACAAGAAGCAGCCGGGGCTCTTATCTGTCACTGAACTCAAATTCAGCAGAACTTCAGGCCTCAGGCAAGATGCTTAAAAGGGTGTATGTTTGTAACGTACAATGATTTTTTTTTCATTGCATAAACCAAGACACTGCTCTTCCACGTAATGTTGAAAGTTAAATCCCCACTCACCTTCCATCCCTCTCTAGTGCTTTCCAAATTTGTCCAGAGCTTTCTACCAACTGTGACTATTACCTAGAAATCTAGAATCGGAAAAAAAGAGAGCAAAGAAAGGGCTGAAGATCAGCAAATAGACAAAGAACAACACTGGTATCTTTGGCTTTCGGAGTGCCAAGTCCACTCAGAGGTCTCTGAGGTGGAGCCAGGATGCAATACGGGGCTCCACAGTTTTCACCTTGATGGAACATTCCCAGTGGTGGGAATGACTGGATTGTGGCTACGACTAGCCCCAGGAACATGACAACATGACCACCTCCACCTCCACTCCCCATCTAAACACCTCTACATCCCTCTGGGCCCCTCTCTAACACCAGATGATCAGCGCCTCCCACTTTCCACAACTTTGACTTCCCTGCAACCCTCAGCCTACCCTAGCCCAGCTCAGACACAAGGTGTTAGCACTATTTGAATAGGAGGCTTGTAACTGCCAGAGAAGGTGTGGGGATCCCCTTTACTGCAATGGATATAATTGAGGGTGACAACTGGGAAGTCTCCTGCCTGTGATTTCTTGGTCCTGACTTAAAAGGTGCTTTCAGAAAGAGCCAGGAGAAGGGCCGAAGCACCTGTGCACACCTGGAAGGAGAATACAGTGTCTCAAATAAGCTTATCTGCCAGTTCTCAGAAGGAACAGATGGATGTTCCAATTGCACTGTAACTCATGCGGGTAAAGTCCTCTCTCCTATTGCTTGTAGGACTTTTTACAAGCCACTGCATGTACTTCTAGCAGGCTTTCCTACTGTGTCAAACCAGAGGCTTCTTTCTAAAAAGAGAAACATAAACAATGCTTCTGTATCTGCTGGTTAAATTTAGTGATCAGTGAAAAAGACTGTGCAGGGAGACCTTTAAACCCATGGTTCTTCAGATTGTCTTGGAATCCCTTGCAGGGTGACTGTCCAGAGTTCCTCTTCAAGGGCTCTGGGGTGGAGACCGATGATTGAATTTTTAGCAAGTCCCCAAGCAGTGCTGATGCTGCTGGCCCAGAACACACTTTGAAACATTATATTTTGGAATCTCTCTCCTTTAGGGGAACAAAAGGAGTTAATTCAAGGGGAAAGAAAATACTTGGACAATTTTTCTTCAGAGGCTGCATTTTCTAAGTTCCAGTTTGAGTTAATTTTCTATTCACTGCACGGCAGCAAACAGTGATTCTTATGCTTAAATGCCAATCTGGAAATCAAACCACTCATCTTCAGAAAATAAAGAATTGCACTCTGGTATATTGACATGCATGCTCATCTTGAGCGGTCAAGGACAGATTTCACCTCTGCAAAATCTGTTTTTTGTTTTTTTTTTTTAAAGAAGAAGAAGAAGTTTTGGGTGGAGAGCATGTATTACAGAGTAGAATTTCTTCATGGGGTTTTTTAGGAGCTCTGGGTCAGGGGAGTGGATAAGGCATTTGGCTGCTAACCAAAAGGTCGGGGTTGAAACCCACCAGTTGCTCCACCGAAAGAAGATGGATCAATCTACATCCGTAAAGATTTACAACCTCTGAAACCCAATGGATGTCTCTATGATTGGCACTGACCTGATAGCAGTGAGATTGGTTTCGAGTTAACCTTTACCGGAGCAGCTCCCCGGGCCTTTCTGCCGTGGATATGCATGGATGGGTGCCAACTGACAACCTTTAGGGTAGCAACCTATTACACAGCTTGCACCACCCAGGGGGCAAATCTGCTGCAATAGATTTCTTTACTGAAGAGCAAAGATGCCCTTTTGAAGACTAAGGTGCGCCTAACCCAAGCCCCGGTATTTTCAATCACCTCATATGCAAGTGAAAGCTGGACAATGAATAATGAAGACCAAAGAAGAGTTGATGCTTTTGAGTTGTGGTGCTGGCGAAGAATGCTGCAAGTCCCAAGCACTGTCAGAAGAACTATCAAATCTGTCCTGGAAGAAGCGCGCGCGGAATGCTCCTTGGAACTGAGAATGGCCAGACTTTGTCTCATCTACTTTGGTCATGTTGTCAGAAGGGACGATTCTCGGCAGGATATCACGCTTGGTCAAGTGGAGGGTCAACTAAAAAGGCGAAGGCCCTCGACGACATGGATTGACACAGTGGCTACAGGGATGGGCTCAAGTTTAGCAAGGATCGTGAGGCTGGCCCAGGATCAGTGTTTCTGTCTGTTGTACACAGGGTCGCTAGCAGTCCACGCTACTTCTGACTTCACAGCACCTAACAAAAAAACAACTCAACAACTGAAGCTTGGGAGGGGTGTGTGGGGGGGGGTGGGGAATCTCAGAGCCACGGGCTAACGCCCTGCCTGGCATTCCTCTGATGTGCAGAGAGAGTCCCTCGGTCCAAGCCGAGGCCAGACTTGATTCCTCCATCACTATGGTAGGGGTAG